TAAGTTACAGATTGGTCTGCTAACTGCAAAGGCAGTCGGCAGTCCAAAATCACTAGTGCTTTGGAGAAAGGAGGCTTTCCACTCCTGTAAAGAGTTCGTCTCAGAAACCCAAGGGGGCAGTTCTCTATCCTACCGAGTTGCTGTGACTGAAAATCAGTTTGATGGTTAGTGACTTCAGGTTTTTGCTTTTGAAGCCAAGGTACACCATCTTGCAATTCATGTGTTTGTCCTAGTTTTGTATATGACCATCTTTCAGCTTAGTGTAGGTTATTGATGATACCCTCACCTTCAGGCAAGCTTCAGCATGAATATGAGCAGCTAACATTTCACATTATTTCCTACCCCTGGCCTGAAAATTAGTGGGATGAGTGATGATTACTTAGCTAAAAAATTATCAGACTGAGGAATGCATATGATAGAAATGATTTTGTGAACCTTATTGTGAGTTTGGACTATAAATGTTGCTTTTCCAAATTAAATGTTACCTTTTGCCTAATACTTTACTATTTCTCACTAATTTTAGTTGGATGCGAAATTAATTTAAAACCAAGACACTGAATCTGGAGCAGCCTGGCCCTACTGGTCCCCTAAAGCCTATAGAGAGCACAAAGTCTTCGATTCTCAAAAAAATGTGTTACTTGAGCTACCTCTTTGTTAATCATTTTATTGGGGGCCTCATACAATGCTTATCACAATCCGTACATCAATTACATAAAGCATTCTTCTCAAAACATTTGCTCTCCACGTAAGCCCCTGCCATCAGCTCATTTCTCCCTTCCCTGCACCCCATCCCTTGTGAACCCTTGATAATTTATAAATTACTATTTTGTAATATCTTACACTGTCCAACGTCTCTCTTCACCCACTTTTCTGAGGTTATATGTAGATCCCTGTAAATGGGTTCCCCCTTTCTACCCCTCCCTCCCGGCATCGCCACTCTCACCACTGATCCTGAAGGGATCATCCATCCTGGATTCCCTGTTTCCAGTTCCTATCTACACCAATGTACACCCTCTGGTCTAGCCAGATTTGTAAGGTAGAATTGGGATCATGAAGCGTTTAGGAGCTAGAGGAAAGTTGTATGTTTCATCGTTGCTACACTGTACCGACTGGCTCATCTCCCCGCAACCCTTCTGTAAGGGGATGTCCAGTTACCTACAGATGGGCTTTGGGTCCGCACTTCCCCTCATTCACAATGATAAGGTTTTTTGTTCTTTGATGCCTGATAGCTCATCCGTTCAACACCTCATGATCACACAGGCTGGTGTGCTTCTTCCATGTGGGCTTTGTTGCTTCCGAGTTAGATGACTACTTGTTTACCCTTAAGACACAGACACTATCTTTTGATAGCCGGGCACCATGAGCTTTCTTCACATTTGCTTATGCACACATTCCTCTTCAGTGATTGTACTGGGGAGGTGAGCACACAATTATATGATTCTTTGTTCTTTGATGCCTGATAGCACATCCCTTGGACACCTCATGATCACAGGCTGGTGTGCTTCTTCCATGTGGGCTTTGTTGCTTCTGAGCTAGATGGCCGCTTGTTTACCTTCAAGTCTTTAAGACCCTAGATGCTATATCTTTTGATAGCGGGTCTCCATCAGCTTTCTTCACATTTGCTTATGCACCCATTTGTCTTCAGTGATTGTGTCAGGAACGTGAGCATCATAGAATGCCAGTTTTAATAGAACAAAGTATTTTTGCATTGAGGGAGTACTTGAGTGGAGAACCAATGACCATCTGCTACCTTAATACTAAATCTGTACATATATGCACCTAGATCTATTTCCCCATCCTCATATATATATATATTTACATATGTGCATGCCTTTATTTAGATTTCTATAAATGTCCTTTTCCTCTATTTCCTCTTACTTTCCTCTTGTCCCACTACCATGCTCAGCCTTCATTTGGGTTTCAGTGATTCCTCTTAGTTACCTTACCCTTGATCACACCCTACCAGGCCTACTACACCCTCCTCACCGCCGATTTGGATCACTTGTTCCCTTGCTCCTGGGTTTGTTACCACCATTTCCTTTCCCCCCACCTCCCCGTCTCCCATGTCCCCACAGAACTGTCGGTCCTGTTGTTTTTTCCTCCAAATTGTTCATCCAGCCTATCTTATTTGGATAGGCCTGCGGAGATAATAACATGGGCAAAAACAAGACAGAGAAAAACCAAGCAACGAAAGAAAAGTACAATAAAAAGCCAATGACAAAAACAAAATACAACACAACTACAACAAACCAGAAAAGCTTGTAGTTAAGTCCAAGGACGGTTTGTTAGGGGCTACCTCTTGACCACGTAGAAAACCCAATGGAATAACTGAAACTATGGAAGAACAAGCCCCAGAAGGCATAGCTTATTTCCAAGCAACTATCTACCCCATGGTCTTCTAGCTGCTGTATCCCATGGCCGGGGCTGGGAGCACACATTGCCATGAGTCCCTCTTTCTCCCCATGGGAGCCCTGATGATGTAGTGATTACACACTGGGCTGTGATCCACAATGGTTGGCAGTTCAAAACCACCAGCAGTTTTTGAGAGACTGGGCTTTTTAACTCCTATAAAGAGATCAAGTCTCAGGAATTTCTACCTTGTAATAGCCATTCTATGAGTCGCTATCAACTTGATGGCAGTGAGCTTATTTTTGGGGTTGGGTAAAAATAGTGCTCTTACAGTTGGTGTTTCTACTTTATATATATATATAGATGCTGGTATAAATTGTACCTGTTCCAATGTCCTACCAGGATTGTCAGCCGTGGAAGAAGAAAATGTGATTTAGAAATTATATTTACTCAATACTGTGACAAATTGACCCACATCAGGCTTTTTCATACGCAATATACAGGTTTAGGCCTTTCCTAATTTACATGAACTATGACATCCATAAATCCATCTGATTCAGATTAACTGATACATTTCCTACTTGTAGACCTGATGCAAAGTACAGGAATACAATATACAAAATAGTTTGGCCATTGTAACCATCATTCTGGCACTTTTAATGAATGCCAAGTTGAATTTGAGAAAAATGTAATGGCTGTCTCTAGGACATTGGCTGCATACAAAGGAAGTTCCCTTTATTGGCTGGAAAGGTTTTCACAGCTGACTTCAGCTGCTCTGAGGTAGTTTTCAGTCAACCAGCTGTAGCTAAGGTTGGAGAATTGTCCTTTTCTGTGGCTTCTCTGAAAAAGAACTCATTCCTTGGGAGCAATGGAAGATCTGTTGCAGGATGTATTAACGCTGGGGTAGGAGGTGCATTCTCAAGACAAAGTCCAATGTTGCTTCCTTCCCTTCCATCTTTGACCTCTGGTAGTTACATAATCTCCAGTCAATTTGCAAAGTGGTGGAGTCTAGCCTGTCAATCATGCCTCTGCTTGATGACCTCATTTGGAGGCTTGAAGGAGAGAAATTGCTCACCGTAGGTCAGATATACTCTCTGCTTTGTATTCCTGATGACATGTGGAGACCTACGCCAGCACTGAGATGCTTACACCACCACTGGA